AAAAAAAAAAAAAAAAAAAATGTATGAAGGGAAAGGGAAAGAAAAAAAAATGCAAACAAAGATTTTTTAAATAGGGAAGGGTGGAAGGCATGAAGGGAGGCCAGGGGAATGGGGAAAAAATAAGTACCAAGATACAGCATGTAAAGGTACAAGATCCCAATGATGAATGTAACTGTATTGTATACCTAAAATGTATCAATAAAATAGAGGAAAATTACAAGGTCTATGGAATGGAAGAAAATACCACACACAGAAAAAACGCATAGCCGTGAAAGACAGCTTGTGTTGTCAGAAAACCGGGGAGTATAGTGACAGTACATTCTAAAGGTGTTAGGAGAAAAATGTAAGGTTGGATCTGGATAAATTTATCAATGTAAATATAGAGATTTTCTATGTTTATTTAAGTCCCTGGATGTGACTCTAAAAGTTTGCTTAGAAGCAGGCACAGTGACACACACCTGTAATCCCAGCACTAAGGAGGCTGAGGTAGGAAGATCACCACAAGTTCAAGGACAGCTGGGCTACGTAGTGAGTTTGAGACCAGCCTGAACTACATAGCAAGATCCACAGTGGCTCTCTACATGCTGTTGTGAGTCCATGTGGAAAGGCTGAAGATGCTCAAATCAGATGTTCACAGGCAATGGAAGTAGGGAAAGTCACCCATTCAAGCAAACTTGAGCTTTTCAAGCCCACGAGGGGTTTCACCTCATCTGTTTTTCACTTCATCTGTCTAAGCTTTCTGGATGTTGCTGCTCACAATCAGGATACATCTTGCCTTCTCAGTGTGCTGGCCCATATGGCAATCATGTCTGGAAACACCTCTACGGACACACCCAGAAATGTGCTTTCCTCATTGCCTAGGCATCTTTCCTCCCGTCAAGTTGATCAGCAAGATTAACCTCACAATTGGTTAATAAAATGTCTTGCTTATAGAAGCCACTACATTCTTGAAAAGCTCTGTGTTGGCTGTCCTCTGTAGGCTGGCAGGAAAAGTTGCCATGAAATTGGGAGTTGCTGATTTCAATAGATTAGTAGGATCCAGGAGGAGAGGCCAGGTAGCAGCATAATCATTAGAGACCAGATACTCAGAAGCAATTACCACATTGAGCTGCACAGAAGAGGTGTTAATCAAGTATTTTAACACAAGAGATTTGTGGTAGTAATTAACAATTACAAGATCCCTGGCAATCAGTTAGATGGGCAGCCTATTAAATTTTTGCTTTAGAAAATTTCTAGGTCTTTAGACAATGCCCTTTATGCCATCATTTAGAAGTACACATTCAGAAACATTTTTGCTAAGCTTGTATTAATTGTGTACAGTAAGAAAAATTTTAAAGATTTTAAAATTTATTTTTAATCTATACTATAAAAAATTTTTAAGCTGGGCATGGGAACACATACCTATACTCCCAACTACTCAGGAGACTGAGGCAAAAGGATCACAAGTTCAAGGTCAGTCTGGGCAACTTAGCAAGATGCTATCTCAAAATCAAAATAAAAAGGGTTAAGGAAGTAGCTCAGTGGGAGAGTTCCTTTGGGTTTGATTCCCAGTACCACACACAATAAATTTGAAGATGATCAGTATATACATTTATTGAAAAAAGCAGGGCACAAAATAGGAAAATAAGATGATTCATATTCTAGTAAATATATTTCCTATATAACCATAGTATGTGATATATTATTTATTAACTAGTAGGCTATAATATACAAAATAGAAGGAACTTTTCATTTCAACCAAAATGGAATGACAGACTTGATTTACACCCCTGCCTAAAACAACTAAAAAAATGACCAAAATTTATTTTGTTGTTTGTTTGTTGGTTGGTACCGGGGATCAAACTCGGGACTTTGCACTTTGTGAGGCAGGCGTGACCAAAATTTATGGAGAAACAGAAGCTAGGTAAATGTACTCAAAAGAAATAGGAACTTGCCAGGGATTTAGCTCAGTGGTACCATGCCTACTTGACAAGTGCAAGGTCCTAAGTTCGATTTCCGGTACCCCCCCAAAGGAACTCACATAGTACTAATTCTATTAAAGAAACTGCATTTGTAGTTAAAAGTTTTCTTACTAAAATAAAACTGCTCTAGAATTCTTTGAGGAGCTCTACCATTTAGGAAATATATAACACCAGTGCTATGTCAATTCTTCCAAAAATTTGAAAATAATAAAATACCAACTCATTCTATGAGACTATCATTATTCTGACACCAAAATCCAAAAATGACACTGCAATTCACAAACAAAACCATATACAAAGGGACTAATATCCCTCATTAACATAACTGAAAACATTCTTAACAAAACTCTACCCAGAATCCAACAATGTACAAAAGATGATCAAGCCCAAATGAGATTTTCTACAGGGACATAAGGTTGGCTTAATATTTGAAAATCAGTGGAGTTCCCTATATTAACAGAGCAAAACCAAAAAGAATTTTTTAAAACCCTATTACATGTTCATTTCAATGGATGCAGAAATATACATATTGGACTTTTTGGAAAAAATCTAATATATCTTTCTAATTTTAAACTCTTAGCTAACTAGTAGTAGATAGAATAGAATGTCCTCAATTTATAAAAATTAACCCTTAAAATTTATAGCTAATGTCATACTTACTCTATTTGAAGAAGTCCTAATGATTTCCCCAACAATTAAAAACAAATCAAGTTCTCACCAGTATTTGTATGTGAAAGATTTGAGCCAGTTTATTAAGGAAAAAAAAGAAAATAAATATATAAAAATAAATTGTATTTCTATATTGTAGCAATAGATAATAAAAAATGTAAAGGCCTACCATTCATAACAGTAGCATTAGACAATATAAAAATAGAAACAAATTTGACAAAGATCTGCAGACTTCTACACTGAAAACTACAAGACATTGCTAAGAAAAAAACTGAAGTAGGGCCAGGGATGTAGCTCAGTGGTGCTGTGCCTGCCTGGCAAGTGCAAGGTCCCAGGTACCAAAAAAAGCTGAAGTAGATACAAGTAGCACATACTGTAATCCCAGTACTCAGGAGTTTGAGATAGGAGGATCACATGTTTGGGGCTGGCCTGGGCCACATAGTGAGTACAAAGCCAACCAGGAACACAAAATAAGATCCTCTGTATTAGCTTTCCTGCCAGAGACACAATACGAGCACCCACAACTTAAAGGAGTAGAGGTATAATTTAGCTCATTATTTCTGGGGATTCAGTCCATGGTCCACTGGCTTCAAGGCAAGAACATCATTCTGGAAGGGCATGGAAGAGGAAAGTAGCTCACCTCATGACAGCCAGGAAGAAAGGGGTAGGGAAGGGGAAGAAGAAGGGAAGGGAGAGAGACACAGAGACAGAGAGAGAGAGAGGGAGAAGGAAGGGGAAGAGGAAAAGGAGAAAAAGGAGGAAGTGGAGGAAGAAGAGGAGTCAGCAGGTGGCAGAGAAAAGAATGCATCCTTCTGGGTCACGCCCTCAGTGGCCTGCCTCTCCTAACCAGGCCACACCTCCTAACAGCACATTTAGCCATGAATTCATCAATGGATCAACGCACTGAGAATTACAGCACCCCTAGGATCCAAGCACTTTTCAAAAGCCATACTTCTGAACACATGAGACTTTTAAGGGACATCCTAACACCCTGTCTCAAAAAAAAGTCACATGCAGAGGGTTAATAATCAGAGTGTCTTCAGACTTTTCAATAGGAATCACTGAAACTAGCAAAAAGTGAAGAGCAATGAGGAAATATTATTACTAACCTAAACTCCCATCCCCACCAAACAATTGGTTATGTGTTGGAGTAGAATTAAGACATTTTTAGAGAAGTAACATATTTTAAAAATGATCTCCCACACGCCCTTTCTCAGAAAGCTGCTGGAGAATGTATGTCACCAAAAGGAGGGAAGGCACCAGATGGCACAGACAAACTAGGCAACTGAAAAGAGTTTAATAAAGGGACTTCGTGAGGTTTGGATTATTTTGGGGGTTTAGAGAAAGCAACAAGGAGTAGTGTAGCCCTCTGAGCCTAGCAATGCCCCAGGCTTGGTAGTTACCAGAACCCAGAGAAAAAGCTGTATGAAGTTAGGACCTGATAAGAGCAGGGGCTTCAGAGCGAAGGACCATGAAGGAAGTTAACACCTCATCCTTACCTTCCTCCTTCCCTCAGATCTGCTGCTGCTCCTCATGGCTGAACCCAACTGAAGACCAAAAGGAACCATTCATATCCTGTTAGAGAAGGCACATAGGAGGATGGAGAAGGAAAAGGTGAGGCTGATGGGAAGGGGGCAGATCAAATGCATGCAGTCGAGAGGGGGACATAAGATCCAGGAGGTGTATCCCATAAAGCCTCGGGGCAAAGAGGTTTCCCAAGATGAAAATGGAGTAAAGTCCTGGAAGAGTACCGTAGACTTCATATTAGAAAAGGCACTGAGGGCCAGGGATTTAGCTCAGTGGCTCAGCCACCTGCCTTTCAAGCACAAAGTTCGATCCCCAGTGAGGAAAAAAAAAGACATTGGGGTATTATAGGATGATTATTTTAACACTTGAATAAAGAAAAGACAAAAAAAAATCCTCATGGTTAGCTGATCCATTTAACGTTCTACAGGATATTTACATATCTTTCTAAGAGTTGCAACAATAATTTGTCATATTGTATGGCAAGCTCATCAAACTAGGTATTAATGGAGGCGAAACTAAAAGTGGTCCCACAAAAAACAACAGTCTTCATACTTAGCTCAACTGAGGATGAATATGTATACAAAAAGTTATAACAAATACTGAATGTTCACTCAACAGTCTGCAATGGCTTCTATCTAGATGTTCCCCAAAGCCTCATGCACTCATACATAGTCAGAGCTTTGGGAGGTGGCTAGGCCTTGGGTGTGTGATGGTGGATTAGGGTGTGTGATACTGGGAGAAAGGGTGTGTGGTGACTGAATTGGTTTAGCATAGATCTGCATGTGGATAATGGAAGGCACTTTGGTTGTGGGTGGCAGCACCAAAAAGGATTATGGACCAAATGGGATAAAAGAGAAAGGGAGGTTTGCTGCTGCTGCTGCTGCTGCTGCCGCCGCCTCCTACCTGCTCTGCCATGGACTGTTTCTCCTCTGCTGGGCCCCTCTGCCATTCCACCCTGCCTTGGAGCCAGCCAACTATGGACTACAACCTCTACAACTGGGCCAAAATAAATACTTCCTCCTTTCATTTGCGGGTGTCAGGTATTTCATCTCAGCAATAAGAAAAAGAACAGAGATAGAGGGGGGAGGGAGAGATCACATAGAAGCATATGATATAAATAATAACATATATAAAATGATGTAGGGAGACAACATATAGATATAGGAATATCCTATTGGAGATTACTCTGGATTCTTTTTCAGTGCATCAACTAAAAGACATGAAATAGTGATTACTGGAGAAGAGAGGGAGGAGGCCAATTTGGGGGAGGGATGCGATCAGGGATTGCCTTTTTATTTTTGTTTTGCTTTGTTTTGTTTTGAGGCAGGGTCTCACTATGTAGTTGAGTCTGACTTGGAACTCACTATGTAGCCCAGGCTGGTCTTGAACTCACAGCGATCCTCCTGCCTCAGCCTCCTGAATGCTGGGATTACAGGTGTGCGCCACCATGCCTGGCAGGGATTGCATTTTTTCATTACAAATTTTATAATACTACTTGGATTTTTCTTTTTTTCTGGTACCAGGGATCGAACTTGGATCCTTACACTTGTAAGGCACACAGCAGAACCACTGAGCTAAATCCCCAGCACCAATATTATTTAGATTTAAATTAAGTGTAGTCACGAATGTGATAAAAAATTAAATGTTTTTCATTGAGTTTATTGGTACATTTTAGGTATACAGTACAGTTACATTCATCATTGGGATCTTGTACCTTTACATGACAGGTCTTGGTTCTCACTTTTTCCCCTTGTCCCTGCCCTCCCTTCACCTCCTCCTCCCCTCTCCATTTACAAACACTTTATTTCCATTTTTTCATTTTCTCATATTTTTTCCCTTATTACCTTTCCCCTACTCTTCCCACTTTCCCTAAACCTTCAGCCCTTTTCTTCCTGTTTCACATTGTCAATTATCTCATTAGGATCTTGTATACTATTATAGTTTTTCACACCAGAGAAATTATTCAGTATTTACACGTGTGACTTATTTATTTCACTTAGGAGTATATCCTCAATATGTATCCATTTTCCTACGAATGAATCTAATTTCTCATTCTTTATGGCTGAGTAGTATTCCATTTTATAGAAAAACTACATCTTCTTTATCCAGTTTCCAACTAATGGGCAAATGGGCTGTTTCCAAGTTTTAGCTATTACAAACTGTGCTGCTATAAACATGAGTGCACATATATCTCTGTGATATGATTCTTTTAATTCTTTTGGAAAGATACCCAGCAGAGGGATGGCTGGGTCGAATGGAACCTCTAGTCCTAGCTCTTTGAGGTATTTCCATATTGATTTCCATAGTGGTTGCACCAGTCTGCACTCCCACCAACAATGGAGAAGGGTTCTTTCTCCCCACAACCCCGCCAACATTTGTTATTGTGTGATTTCTTGATAGCAGCCATTCTTTGTGGGGTGAGGTGGAATCTCAGGGTTGTTTTCTTCTGCATCTCTCGAATGACCAGTGATGTGGAACACTTTTTCATATATTTACTTGCTGCTGTTACTTCTTTGTCTGAGAAATGAAAAATTAAATTTTAAAACAGCAAATTAAAGATTGTGCTTTTGTTAAAACAGTGGCAACGCTTTTATACCAGTAGTGAAATAAACAATAAAACTTTTTGTTTGTCTTGCCCCAGTTCCATGATTTCCAAGTTTCTTCTTCCCTGTGCGCCAAGTTCCTCACATTTTATTAAATGAAGATTACTGTATTCACCATGTCTCAAGGAAAAAGGAAGAACTAATAAAAAATGATTGATAAGTATAAAGAGGCCTAAAAAGATGAGGAACCCAGGACATGTCTTTGTGGGTGAAAACTGTGAGAACAGAAGATATGAAAAAGAACAGTAGATTGTGGGGATTTAATTCCGAAATTCCCTTTCTGGAGATCGGATTCTATTAAACAAATACTCTCTGCAATGCTGGCAAGTATAGCAATGACCAGAGTGGTCTTCCAAAGTCCACCCAGCCCGTAAATAGAATGCTCAATACAAAAGCTGCTTAAATTAAAGCATAAGAAAAACAATAAAGCCACCAATCATTGAGCAATTGCTAAGTGACAAATATTGTGCTGAGGCTTTATTTGCATTGTGCCATTGAAATTCTCAGTGATGCTATGAGTTAGGGTAAACTCATTTCCCCTTCCTACTGATAGAAAAGCTTTTAAAAAGATGAGTAACTTGTTTAAGGAAGTGTCAGAGCCCAGAATTAAACTCAGATTTGTCCTACTTACTCAAATGTCTGACCTCTTGTAAACTTCCAGTGCATTTTGAGCAAAACCAAAAATAACAATCCATAGTGGGTGGGAATGGCAGAAAATAAGGAATGACAATGTTTGCCAAGCCTAAAGGCAAAAAGCACTTAAAGAGAAGGATATCAATCAGGGCCAATTAGAATTGCAAAAGGATGTCACCATGGGTTATCCCATAAGCACCATTACAATAAATATAATTTTTAGTTTTATAAACTACTACAATATTAAAATTAATTTACCAAATATTTATTAAATGTCCTCTGGATTGCTCACTGAGTTCGGTACTCATAATATAAAATTCTTAGCTTAACTAATAAAGTTAGAAATGAAGACTTAGGAGGGGTCACGGCACCTGCTTGGCAAGTGCAAGGTCCTGAGTTCGATCCCCAGTACAAAAAAAGAAAGAAAGAAATGAAGACTTAGCTGAAGAATTACCTCAAAATCAGGGACCCTTATGTCTATCTTGAGACATAATATCAATAATTAGTTCCTTGAAGCCGGGCGTGGTGGTGCAGGCCTGTAATCCCAGCACTTGGGAGGCTGAGGCAGGAGGATCACTGTGAGTTCCAGACCAGCCTGAGCTACATAGTGAGTTCCAGGTCAGTCTCAACTACATAGTGAGACCCTGTCTCAAAAAACAACAACAACAACAACAAAAAAAAAAAAACCCAAAAAACCAATGATTAGTTTCTTAGAGGAGATTAATGTATTAATTTGTTATACATGCTTATTTCAGCAGAGGGCACTAGGTGACCTAGGTGTTTTGAACTTCAAGTGGCAACAGTTAATAGAAGCATCTTTCTGAACTATATTCATGATTTTAAAAAGCATATTAAATGTTTCAAAAGTGGACTCTGTCATGAACCAAAGAAAAGAAGTTTAAAATATGAATACTGGCAAGATCACTTGGGTCAATATTCCAGATGCTTATACAGTTACAGATTTTTGAGTGATTCTTTTTATAAAATGATTGCCATTATTTACTAGCAAGCCTTGACCAGGGTCAACAGGAAATGTCAGTTTAGCACCTCACACTTCTGAGAGAGATGGATTAGGGCAGTGCAATAAACCCTGGGCCAGAAGCCAGATTTAAGGAGTTTGGGGGCATCTTTTCCTCCCCTCTCCCCACTAGTGCCTTTTACTAATTATGTACAAGTGACTTAGCACTTAGTCTCTATTTCCACATCTCTGAAATGGGAACCATTTCTCTCCTGCTTGTGACTGTGAAAGTGCATCGCAAATACATCAGGTGCGAAAGCATGAAAAGCCATATTGTTAGGAAAAGAAATTCAACAAACAAAATTCAGTCCTACACATACCTTTTCTTTTATTATTATTCCAGGCTTATAAACATTGTCTTTGGGATCCTCTGGAAATAGTGGGCATCTCACTAATCCAAACAAAAATAAAAAGTATAATGAAGGGCCAGGGATTTAGCTCAGCGGTTCGGCGGCCTGCCTTGCAAGCGCAGGGACCCGAGTTCAATCCCCGGTACCAAAAAAAGGTATGATGAAATCATGAAGTGCAATCATGATTTGAAGGTATTTCCTTCCAGCCCCTTCTTAAGATTCTGCAAGTCTGGGCCAGGGATTTAGCTTACGATGCCGCCGCCTGCCTCGCAAGCACAAGGACCGGAGTTTGATCCCTGGTACCAAAAAAAAAAAAAAAAAAAAAGGTACAAAAAAAAAAAAAAAAAAAAAAAATCTGCAAGTCTCCCAAGAGAAGGAAGGAGGGGAGGGGAGGTACATAAAAAAAATTAAGGTTTATTATGCAGCATCTCCCCATGAAGAATGTAATCATTATATACTGCAAATAAATACTAATAAAATTTAAAAATGATTTTGCAAGTCTCTTGTTCACATCAAAGAAGAAACAAAAATTTATGAAGAAGTCCTGAAAGGTCCTCTATCAGGTGATTATCTACTATTCCCAGACAGATTCTCATCCATTTCTATGGAGAAATTTCCCAGTTTTCAGGGAGAAAGCACATCTAGCTGGTACATTTTTCATGTCCTTAAACACACTCCCATACACGCCATATGCATGCCTGATTAGAAGTATGGCCACTCACAAGTACTTCTAACTTGCCTTCATGAATGTTTCTTTAAACGAATTAATAGAACACAAATACATTTTATGTGTATGGAAAAATAAAGAAAAACATCAAATGATTTGCTTAAAATGAAGTAGCATCAGCCATGGACATTTTCCTTCTAATAATGATAAAACCAAAGGAAAATAGTGGAACCACATAGAACTGCTAGAAATTTCATTTTAACTGTTTTGTTGTGCTTTGTTTATATGCTGAACTGTTACTACTACATGTTGGCCCTGTGGAAGGTTCCAGAGATACATTAGGGGAAGAAAAAACAAAAAACTAACACAGTCCAGAATGACGAGGTTGGGCAACAGACCAAAACTAAATAGGCAAGAAGAAAAATAGTTGTGAAGTATGAATGTTTTATATTTTTAAAAATGCACATAGTTAAAATACTAAAGAACAGAAGAATCTGAATGTGGTAGACCATTCCTGTAATTCCAGTAACTCAGGAAGCTGAGGCAGGAGGATCTTAAATTCAAACCCAGCCTGGGTTACCTAGTGAGACTCTGTATCAAAAAAAATAAAAATAAAAATAAAAAAACT